CACAATAGCAAGAGCGACATGACAAAGTCATCCTCCAACACGACAATTCTCGGCCTCACGTCGCAAAAGTGGTCAAAAAGTACCTGGAAACGCTGAAATGGGAAGTCTTACCCCACCCGCCGTATTCCCCAGATGTCGACCCTTCTGACTTCCACCTATTCCGTTCGATGGCACACGGCCTGGCAGATCAACATTTTCAATCCTTCGAATAATCGGAAAAATGGATTGCTTCATGGACAGCGTCAAAAGAGGACTTCTTTTTTCGCTAGCGAAGGACAATACTTTGAATAGTATATCTGTAAGCACTTTTTCGCAATAAAGCTTTTATTAGTTTTGGAAAAAACGGCGGAAGCAAAGTTGTACACCTAATATAAAAACTTTTCTAAATGAATTTTGCGCGTTTCTATAAAGATGTTACAATTTAAGAAATATTTGCTTACATTTTGAATACGAGTATGCAGACATCTGTTCAAATATAAATCCCTTTTTACTTGTCCTCGCGAGTGCGAATGAAAGATGAATGGTGAATAAAGTTGGAATCGCCTTGAACGCAGATCGAATCGCATAATCCCCGGAAACCGCATTTGCAGCGAAAGTATTAAGAGTATTTAATGGAAACAGCTTATGAAAACAAGGCGATCACCAGAAGTTGCGGCATTGGCGGCGCCGAAATGTAGGCAACACAAATAGCGAATTGCCTGAAGTCAATTCATTTGAGATGCCAATCTGAAAGTCACGAAGCAATGACCAACGGAGGAGACGAAAGAAAGTTAACGATTTCCAAAACCACACTGACGCAAGCAGCAGAAGACGAAGAGGAAGCGATATGAAGCAAGCGACGAAAGAAATCGAGCGATTCAAAGGAGCAGTGAATTAATCCTTAAGCCTACTTAAACTAAAGACTTCAAAGAAGCTTCGGCGCTTGGTAACAGATAAACGAAAAGAAACTACATAACTTGGCTGATGCTCACACAGAAAAACTCAAACATACCAACCGTAGCGAATGAAATGTAGGCAAACTTTAAATTCCGCCCGCGTTAAGAGCAAATAATGAGCAAAGGAAAAGCACAAAAATCAAAATGAAGAGCCACTGCAGAAGAAGTGGCCAAGATTAGTGCGGCTCAGTGAGATTTTCACAGGCAGTGGTACTCCTGTGGCGGCCAGGGAGTGCAGGTATTTTGTTGCAATTTGCCATAAAGTGAGAGCGAGCACAAAGCCTAAGTGTGTGACAAGTCAGTGAGCGATGGAGAGCCGCGGAGCGAGCGGTGAGTGTGTAGTCCAAGTGGTTGGGGTGCATTCAACAATACCAAAGTCATTGGCCCACATAAAAATACTGGACCGCTGAATACTGACTTCACTATCTGTATGTCTAAATATATCTGTGTGTGTATGTGTGGGTAAATGGCCCGACAGCAACTTTTTTAATATACCTATTACAGTTTTCCCCTTCATTTCCGCTCTGAACAAATGTGAGATTGCGCCTTTTGTTTCAGAATTTCGCGGACTATTTGCCAGTTAAATAAATGAAAAAATCAGAAGAGTTGCAAAAAAGGCAACAAAAAGGAACGAACAATGAAGCCGAACAAAGGATAACGTTCGCGGGCGGCGCAAGGCCAGCGGCGGCGGTGAAATTGCTAGCAAAATAATAATTTTTCTCTTTGAAATCGCAGAAATATAACGTCAAAAGTTTGCCTTTAGCCAGTACGTCCTCAGCTTCTGCCGCTGTCGTTGCACTACTGGTCTTTCGTATAGGCGCAGTGTGTGGCCAGCGGTTGGTTGGCTTTGCAATTTAGCCGTTTCGCAGCTTTTCGGCTTCTCAGCTTCACGGCGCCACCACGAGCCGGAGCTTTTAAATGCGATATAAAATATTTACGAGTTGGCTGAAAAGTTTTGCGAAAGAAAATTAAAAATTTACCGGAAAGTGCGAACGTTTTATTCTTTCAAAGCGCTTTTGGTTTAGTTTGCAAGTGAATTAATTTTTATTGTTGAATTTTTTAAAGACATTCGGAGTCCACTTGTTGGGCTTATAGGATCTGGGTTCTTTATTTAAATATATTTGTAAATTTGAGTAGCAGGGGGGCGGGCAGTCTACTCTCTCATGTGCTGTGGTTACATGGATCACCTGTTTTTGAGTTGGTGTCATTTCTTTATATTACTCTTTTGCAGAACGAGACGAGGAAACGGCAGAGAAGGTGAGCCGTAATAATTTAACTTTTGTGCGCTGACGTCTACATAAAGTTTAGAGAAACGCTGTGACTCATTTATAGCGTAATGCCGCCATGTTCTCAATTCATTCCATTTCATATCATGTTGCTGCTCATATTGTTGTTATTATTATTATATTATCTTAAAATTGTCCAGATACTCTGGCGTTCTGTTGTGATCTTTCCACTGTACTCAGCACACGTGCTTATACATACATACGAGTACACACACCGTGCCAAATCTGCAGCGCCCACATCATTCGAGGAGCTGCAATTGTGCTTGGGCGTATACAAAACTTCCCCAACTGACACACTCAGCCCTTTTCTAAATGTGAATTACGCGGGAGATTTCTCACTCTTCCCTCTTCTCCTGTCAGAAATAGAAATAATTTTGTCGATTTTTTCTCTTTTCATTTCCTAGTATTCTAAACAAACTTCGAAAATGGGAAAAATTCCCAGTGAAAAAACGCAAAAAAAATCAGATTATATAATTTAATAATCATTTTAATGGTTTCTTTAAGTTAAAAAGAGCGAGTAAAGAGCAATTGCAGTTGCTAGTAGAGCTGATGGAGACTCAACCGGCTACAGCTCGAGACTTTTTTAAAAGTGATAAGAAGGAGTGCAACCAATTTTGGGGGAATATGGATAACGAAGTAAATCCGCTGAACCACCTGTAAAAACCCATCTGGATTGGAAGAAGGTAAAATTTCCTTTTCAGTAAAAGGCGTTTTTTAAGTAGCATATTATTTTTAGGTGTTGGCTGATCACAAGAAATACGGTCGGTTCCAAACTGTAAGGCCAGAAAACACGTCAGGAAGGGTCATAAATTGTCCCATATCGAGGAGATGAAGGAGTCGGTGGAATGGTTGCTTGTGAGGAAGTTTGGATTGCAGGAGCATTAGGCCTTGCCAAACGACGTTTTTTTACGTTGAAGAAGAATTCCTTGCCATTCTTCCTCATTTGCCTCAGCAGCCAATAGATTTAGTACCACAAAATCCATAATTCTAATATAATTTTGGTTTCAATAAGAATTGTTCATTTCATCAAAGCGTCAAATGTCAATAATACTCAGGAATACCAAGCTGCTGATTCCCTACTCCCAAGAAATCATTCTCCCTGTGCTTTTGGAATTGGCGGATTTTTTCTTAGGGAATTGCCAAATCCGCAAGGGAGAATTTCTCCGAGAGTATTTCGAATTCCGCTGACTGTAAAATTGTATTCAAATTTGTTGTTGTTGTTTTTGTGGTATAATTTCTTGGTTTTAGAAAAAGATTTTCGCTTTTTATAATCTTACATTGTTGTTGTCTTAGTTTGTCTGATGTATAATTTCACTATAATTTAGGGGGGTGCGGTTTGTTTCGCAATGCCCTGCGCTTGTCCAGACTCCGGAGTCTATTTTTTACAATCGGTTTGCTTGTTTTTAATTTTTGTTTTTGTTTTTGTTTTGTTTTTGTTTTTGCTTTGCCTTAAGCAATTTTAGTCTTGCTGCTTTTAATACTTCTATTCCCTCACTGTCTTTCGTGGTGGCTCTTGCGTTTTTCTCTTCCTTTGTGCATTTATATTTTTTATTATGTAAGGACAGCAGCAACAACAACAAACACAAAGAAAATGATTGCTCCTCTTTTGAGCAATTGTTGGCCGCAAACTTTTCTCCCTCCAACTCCTTTCATCCTCCTCATTTCAGTTCACATTTATATTCTACCATTTAATGCAGTGCAGTGTAGCGCTTAACGTTGCTGTTGTTGTTGTTGTTTTTGCTTTTATTATTATTGTTATTGTTATAGTGCTGGCTATGTCTGTGGCGAAAGTTGCAGTTATAACCGTTGACTTGCTATTTGCTGTTAGCTCCCGCCTGTTGCCTTGTTTCTTTGCATCGTTTTTTATTTATTATTGTTTGTTATAGTTGTTGCTGTTGTACTTTTTTGCTGTTGTTGTCGCCATTATTACAATTACTATTGCAGTTTAGCATTTCTGGCGATTTGGTGCGCACAATGAATGGCTGTTGTTTGCAACTCCACACACACACACACATACGCAACCACACTCAACGCTAGATCAGTAACCGCGTTAGGGTGTGTGTCGCGGCGTCGGGATCAAAGTCAGTCTGCTCGAAATTAAAATGTCCTGGCAACGAACATTGACTCCTTCGTTTGTATTGTGCTGTTTACTGCTTTCTGCTCCTTCCCGGTTTATGCTTCTTCTTCTCGGTGGTTATTATTGCTGCTGAGGTATGGCGATGTTGTTGCTCCTGCCTCATACAAAAGATATATTTGTTATATCTTCCGTTTCTGTTTCTGTTGCTTGGTAAGTTGATCGCCGTTGCCGCTGCTCATTTATAACGGCAGATTTCCGGTTCTTATAATTGCGCGCCAATTGCCGGTCGGTCCGTTACACTTTGGGGAAGTGAGATGAATACAGGGTGATTCCATTCAAATAAATACAAAATTTTTTCAACAAATTTTTTTTAAATATTTTTTTATCAAAATTTCCTTTTTTTAATAAAAAATTTGCAAAAATTACATAAAATTATTTTTAAACTTAACAAAACTTGCCTTGATCAAATAAATGTAAATAAGAAAACCTTTTTTTATAATAAAAATGTGTGGCCTAAGCTCTGCACAAATTTTCAATGCAGTTGCGGAAATTTTAATTTTAAGGATGATTAATGGTGTGGAAGGCCGATTGTCGGAAAAGTCGAACAAGTAATGGAAACCACCGAGTCTGACGGTCGTGCGTGCACTGTTTTGTTTGCCCAGAAGCAAAGCACGACAAATAGTTTGGAGTCAGTTGACAAAGGCAAAGAGTTAACGAGAAAAAAGTTCCTGGAGTGAGCATGCGCGTCGTTGCGGAATCATACTAAGAACCATTTCTGGACTGTTGGTGAAAATGGGTTACTTGCAGCAACTTCAAAGAAAAATGGTTTGGGTCGGCCAGCAAAAAGGGTCTCCAAGTCAGGACTGACAGTCAGAAAGGTTTTCTCGTTTGTTTGGTGGAAGCGCCCAGCTTTGGGAATTACATTTCATCAGGACAACGCCAGACCTCAACCACCAATAGTTGGTGGGAGGTTTCCAACTTATAGTCTGCACCTCGTACCAAATGATCACTGCGAGTGTAGAATTGCCCTCAATAAAAGCCTGTGAACATCGTTTGTCTCTTTTGCCAAGAGGTACAAGGGTTCCCATGATAGAGGCGTACCTACTAAATGACAAAAAATTATATCTTTGCACTTTTCCTGGACCAATTTAATAAGTCCTTAGTTTTTGGTTAAGCATTGCAATTGGTTATTGGTTTCCATTTGTTCTGAGCGAGTTGCTCGGAATGTAAGTCTCTCTCCCTTTAGTATCGATAATTCCTTACCGAAAAAGTACATACGTACATACATATTAAAATTGTATTGAAGCGGCTTAACATTGTATGTGTATATGTGTGTAGCTCTTTGAAACCAGAATTTCTTCATAAGAAAAGAAAATAGCAAAAAAGATTTTAAATAATTACCAAAAAAATTTCAAAACTTTTCAAAGCCAAACCGAAGTTCAATTTAAAATGTAAAAATGATTGGACTCCATAAATGCTCAGCTGAGCAAGAATCGCTTTAAGAATTTGCCGTATGACTAGATATGAAGGAAATCCACTTAAAGAGCATTAAAACTCCAAGCTTGAGTGAAGTTGTTTCCCTAGCTGTTGATGTCTAATGAAAGAGGATTATTTCATTTGTTTTTCATTCAACTTAATGTTTTTCTGACATGAAACTGAACTTTATGAAGATTACCGTTACTTCGGCAGCAGCACGCAAAGTACGGAGAACTCAAATCAATTGCATTCACTGCAATAGAAAAATGGATTAAAGAAAATTTTAATACTTCATTTTACTTTGATTTTGCACACATACATATATATATATATATATGTACACATATATACAAAGCAGCATGTCTAAACCTTTTTCGATGAATTTTAAATGCAGCCAACAAGAAGCTATTTGAAGAAATGAATTCTTAGAATTTCTACGCACTTAATCCTCAGCAACTGCTATTGCAAATAAATATTATTGAATAATTAATTCTTTTATTATTAAAATTCTTAATTACTTGAAACGCTCAGTTGAATAAACTTCGTAGCCAATGAATTAAAGAAGGTGAAATAATTTCACCAATAGATTTGCACAAACACGCACACATGCACACACGCACACATGCACACACGCACACACGCACACATGCACATGAGCATAGATTCGCACGTATTGTACAAGTATATACGTGTGTAGTTGAACAAATGTATACTCGTACATATGCCGTTGTGTGTGTGTGTGTGTTTGTCTCATGAAATTTTAACTATCGAAGCAATTAGAATTTATAAATTCCTTTTCAACAAAATTTATTTGCCAAACTCGTCATTTATTTCAGCTCAAATGAGCGTGTGATAAACCCATTTACATATGTATGTATGTATCTATGTATGTGTATTTTGTATGTGGGTGTATATAACGGTTTATGTAGCCATTTGATTATATGAACAAACAAATTGAGCAAAATGCACACGCCTATGCCTGCATACGTGTATGTATATGTTCGCATCTGTGTGTCTCTCTGTAAGATATCTTACATGCATGTAACTGAAGAATATGTATGTGTATGTGTATGTGTGTGTGTGAATGTGCGCGCGCTTGTGTAAGCTTTCGCTGTGTATGAGTTTATTACAGTCGGTTTGATTGCATTACAGTTCATTTGCGTATCTTTGCTCAGTATTACCGTTGCTATTGTTGTTGTTGTTGTCTCCATCATTTGCATGCGTTCGATTTGATCGGTAGAGCTGGCGAACATTCGAGCATTCGAGCGTTCGAGCGAAGCGTGCGCCGCACTGAATTCCCAAAACACGAATTTCAAATTCCGAAATTCCGGGACACAAATAACATTTTTGCTGCCACTTGAAGCAGTCGAGCGTATTTTCTTCATATGTATGTGTGTGTGCATGTGCGCGTGTGCGTATGTTAATTTGCCTATTTGCCGTTATGTGTAACTTAAATAAAACTTATGAATGCGATCAAGTGTGAAGTGATTCGCAATGAAATTAGTTGACATCGGGGAATTGAAGCGGCATATATGTATGTATGTATGTATGTATGTGTGTATGTATGTATGTATGTTTATATGTATGTTTATATGTATGTTTATATGTATGTATGTATGTATGTAGTTTTTGATATCTTGTATATGCTCGTATATATATATGTATGCACGTAATATTTCTTTCTAATACATCTGCATTTGTGTAAGCGTGTGGATTAAAGAATAACAACAACGCATATATATTTCTCATGTATAAATATAAATCGAGAGTAGAGAGTTTATTGTTAGAAAAATGCATATCTTTGCTTACATGGGAGTATATACACGTATATGTGCAATATTTGTATATATTCAAGTAAATTTAAAAAAAAAAAAAAAACAGGTTTTTACTGAAATAATAACATAAGTGCAATCCGGGTCTTATTAGTAGCTGACCTGGTCTCGCGTTGCTGTGCTTACATTTGCATTACATTGTAATAAACTATTTAAGAGTAACGGTCGGAGAGCACCACTCATGGGGACCACCACATGCTTTATTATATAGATCTTTTTTGTAGAAAAGTTATGGCGACCTCCATGATAGATTTTCTGCTACCACAAGCCGTTGATACGATGAAATTATTATTTTCGAACGAAGACGGGAACGTAAAAGATTTGAAAGGTTTGAATGGCTAGGTATAACAGACAGTCTTGATTCCTCAGCATTACTATTTATTTATTACTCTGAACTATAAGTACTTTTAATTTCAGCTTAACCAAGCAGTAATCGGTCCACAATATTTTTGATTCGACGGTTTTCCCGCATGTGGACATTCAACATATAGTTGCCCAGGAGAAAATGAAGGGTTTTCCATACCTAAACCACAAACGGACATTGTTTGGCCTTGAGACTTATTTATAGACCTTAGACATGGAAAAGGCCAAACGAATTCGAAACTGCAGCTTTCTGAAGGATGTAGCAGAAACTGACGGTATCATTTGAAAAGGTGGCGAGATACCGACTTTTCCTTTAAACTTCCCAGCTGCTTTCTGAATATTTCGGAAGACCAAACGCTAAACTAATGTGGCAGGAGATAATAGACCCTTCCGAAGCCTTGTAACAGCTGCAGTCGAAGACTTAGAGCCGCTTATGACATAGTCCATATCAAAATGTAGAAGACTTTGCCATCAACGACTTTCGGATCAACCCAGCAGCCTAGACCACTGTTCATAGAGACCTGTAACTTCGAGGGCGCGGGACGTATGTACCCTTTTTGTAAGGGTTTTCCGGGAAGTGTATCTAGGAACGATCTATTCGAAAGAATTGAGTTTGTTTTTACATCGTTTGATTTACATGTGGAACAGTTTCTGTTTTGTGAAGTAGCCTCGGAGCCGATTCGATGGTTTTGGTTTTACTTAAAATGTGGAACTCATGACCTTTGAAAAGGTCAATATATAGAGATCTGTTCGAAAAAATCGCATTCGCTTGATTTTCTTGATTTCTGGAAAACAGGAGGCTCTCCGCCTAGACAAATATGTGGAAATTCATATATTTCTAATTTTTTAACGTTGCAGGTTCTAATTTATAATAAAGGAAACGACGAAAAGGCCTGATGAAAATTCTATTAGAACCATTTTGGATTTCCATTTTTATGATAAAGATACTCAGTATGACTTCTAAGATTAGCAGAGCTGAAAGGAAAATAAAGGGTCTATCGTCAGCTGCACTGTCATCCACTTTTTATTAATTTATTTACTTCAGTCAATTGAACAATGGGCAAATTCAACTTAGAAAAGAAATTCGACTAGGGTTGATTCAAGAGGTTAGAACATTCGACTGACAGTTCATTATCAATATTGGAGGTTTAATACCCAAAGCGATTCATATGAAGGGGTCTCTGGGGAACGTTTAGCTTATGTTTTTGACTCGTTGTTTGTCTGTTGGTTCATTTTTGGCTGTTTCAACTATAATACATAGCATAGTATTCGAATTATATGGCTTCTATATATGAAGTTCCCAGGTGAAATAGGAAAATTCGAACCTTACCAGAGAAGTATAGAATATGTTCAGGATGTGCACGTCTAAAAATGAGTAAGAACTAGCATTGCATAATATTTTGTAACAGTATATGCCATTGGTGTGCGTAGAAAAACTCAATAGATACCGTATTTAAATTCGTATTTTCAGAAGCCGAATCGAGAAGAAACCCAGAAAAGCAGCAAAGCGAGGGGAAGGTATGCGGCTTGCCTTAATCTCCGGACTTGGTTAACTTAAGTTGTTGTTTTGCTGTTTTTCAGTTGTCTCGTATCCCGTGAGACAGTCCTTGTGTGCACATATATATATATATATATATATATATATATATATATATGCACAGTTGCTGTTGTGTTGTAGTAAAGTTAATTACCAGGTAATTAAATCCTCCACAACTCTCTCCCCATACATACATACATACACACACACTCGCACACCAAAGGGACGCCCTCTGTCACCCATTCGGTCCATAAATCAATATTTTTCGCCTTCGATTCGTGGTGATAAATCGTCGTCGACTTTCCGCTTCTTCCCCCCAGCATCTATCTGACACATTCGAGCCAAAGATTTAGTCTGGTATTTTTTGCTGCACTCATGTGTGTGTGTGTGTGTGTGTATGTAGAAGTACATTTTCCGAGGTATAAATTTGTGCGCATTACCAAGGCTTAATTAGATAAGGGCCAATATAATTAATAAATGTCTGTGTTGCAATATTGCCTTGAGAGTTGAAACAAAAAATTTCAAAAACAACAGTTAAGCAAAACAGCAACAATAAAAGTTGTATTTGAGTAAGTTGCCAAAGCAGGCGGTTGGCAGGCGTACGAGCTGATGAACGTGTGAAGGGTGAACTCCAGCAAGAAAAATCAATAGCGGTAATTAATCAAGTTACAAAAACAGCACCGGAACTCATCAGTCTCGGAGCTGGATGAATACGCCTGCCCCAATCTCCAGTACTGTAATGCAACGACCCAGTCTGCGTTCCGCATCGGACCGAAGCGGTGGAGCAGATTGACGTGAATAGGTCACGGCTGAGGGAGGGGGAATTAGCTGGGGCGATGGTGTGCAAAATGTGCGAAAAGGCAAAAATGTGAAAATCAATCTTATTAGCTAAAGTTGATGGCAATGGCATTAATCACCATCGCATGAGCGCAACTGAGCACCGGCCACCGAGCTCTGGCCGACTCCGGGCTCATGAGTAACACACAAATGGTGTATACACACACACACACACGCCCAGGACCACACAGCATTTGATGGATCTGTTGAAAGAGACAGCCCGCAGAAGCAAAAAACCAAAAGTATGCAAACCAGATTTGTGAAGCTCAGCTGGGAAGTCTCACATATTACCATGTACATATGTAAGTATGTGCACATATATGCTTATTTATAAGTGTGTGCCCGGCTGTATATGTTCTTGACCAACCTAATCTTCGAAGAAAATTAAATTTCAGTTTTTACTATACATTTAAAAATTTCAATGAAAAGCAAACAAAAACTCTCTTTTCTGTTCTATTAGTGTAGGTGCATACATGTGTGCGTGAGTGTTTGTATTTTTGCTGAAATATATGTATACCCAACTATCTTTTTGTCTTCTCACTTAGACTCAGTTCTTCACTGGGCTCGGCGGCAATAAATGCCCGGTCTTCCTCTCTCCCCATTCAAAACATCTTGTAACCGATTTGTAGCGACTCTCGGCTGCCCTATGCACCTGTTTCTGTCCGTTGTAAGTGCTTGTCCGCGCGTTTTTATCACTTAATCTTGTAACTGAGCCAGTAAAGCTCGGCACTAGGTTTTTTTGCATGGACATTTGTTTGTATAAAGAGTGTGATTGTTAGTGCACACTTACCTTGATCCGCCACGTTAATGACCCCATCTTGTGCCACCGAAATGGCCGAAATCGCCTGGAAGCGTGCATTCGACGATAGCAAGGTCTCCGCGTTGCTCAGAGTGCCGTCATCATTCATGGCGCCGCCCATGCCATTCGCTGCAGCCGTTGTTTTGGCGCCGAGCAATATTGTTGTGGTTGTCGTCGGTCCAGTTGACATTAAATTACCACCGGCCACCATGCTTGCCAAGCCGTTGGGAGCGCCTACTGTAATACCAACGCCACCGCCGCTGCATATGCATGGCGCACCCACGCCCACACTAGAGGCTGAGCCAGCGCCAGCACCATTTCCGTTTCCGCCACTGCCGTGCCCACTGCCGCCGCCAGCTGGCGTGGTCGGTGTGGTGGTGCGTTTTGGATTCATGGTCGTCGAGTAGGCGCCGCCGCCAGCGCCGCCGTTGCCTGTTGATGAAAGCGCGGATGCCAGGCCGGATGTTGAACTGTTGACGCTGTTGCCATTGGAGCAATCGCAGGTTAGTGAACTGTAAATGAGAAGAGCAGAAGCAAGGAGAAAGAGATGTTGAGTAAAGGCGAACTTGGCAAACACACGAGGCGCTGAGCATTTAACAGCAAAAGCATTGTGAGCACCGATGTCGGTATGTCTGTGTCAATGTGTGGGTGTAAGGAAAAATATGAGCCGAGACGGTGACAGTGATGTACGAGCTATGATCTCCGATTACGTGGGTGAGCCGCAGAGAATAGCAAATGCTAAGGCCAGGACATGAGACCAAGTTTCATAGTTTCGCTTAGAACTGAGTGCGGACGAAAAGCAGCGGAATGTGCATTTATGTAGCGCAAACGTTAAATTGGTTATGAGCTTCTGCTGTTGCAGATGCGACAACTTGATATTCGAAGCCAGGCAGGTCACGACAAATGAACTCAGGACTTAATGAAATCACATGAGTAAATAAAGCGCGTATGTGGGAGCTCGTACATCGCGGGTGATTAGCGCGATTAAGCCCCGTTATGCGGCGAGCTTCAGCAAATCCATAGTGCCATGAGGACAAGCGAAAACTGCTATTGTCCCACTCAGCAAATAAGCTTCTCCAAAAGAGCAATGTCACATGAAAAATGCTAAAATATCGGTGGAGGAAAATGATTTTAAAAATGAGCTGACGGCTGCGGAGAGTCGTTAGAAATGGAATGAATTGCGGTGCCATCATCGTCATCAGCGAAAAGCATGCTTTGGAAAATTAACAACTTGACAACGACACAGTTAGGCAAACAGCCGCAGATTAAAAGGCGAACGAACCCACCAACCAGTCAACCAACAAGCGAGTCAGTCAACCGTCGGCAGTTGGTTGTCGACTCCCCTGCTCTGTTGTTGCTGTGTATTTGTTGACAGGGCCGCCTGGGCCGAGTTTGCCACAATGATGGGCTCTGCAGTTGGCAGGCATACAGACAAGCAGATATTGCACATCCCCCACACACATACCCCCGCATGCAAACGGCATGACAATGATGTCAGCTGTTGGTAATGACGCCAACCTGCAATGGAGTCGGTGAAATCGCATGGCTGACGCAGAAAAGGACGGGCCGTGGAAGGGAAAACTGTGTGGAAGAGACAGTATGCAAATTTGAAATTGAGAAGATTGCATTGCGGAAGCAATACTGTTGAATGAAATAAGCGATAACGGAAGGTCGTTGACATTTGCTGATAGTTTGCTCAGTTTGAAGGGATAAGGAAAATGTCAAAAATTCACAACACTATTTGCTGCCAAATATCTCAGAGTTCGTTTCGGTGGAAAATACTTTTATTTAAGTGAGATGAATTTGGACCAAAACTTACCCTAAGCCTTCTTGTTTTCCTGCAAAGTATCGCATGTTACCCGCAGTGTCCACAACGCGTATAGAGTTCACGCGCCGCGAGTCACTATCTGCGATGTAGAGATCACCGAAGGGCGAGAAGGCCATTGCGAGCACCGTTCCGAGCACATTGTCTGATGTGTGATTGGTCTTGTCCTGACCGTTGTTGTTGCAGTGCAATGGAGTGCCGGCAACGACTCGTATTTTCATATCGGAAGTCAGGCGGAGCACCAGGCGATCATCGATGAAGTGCAGAGAGCCGTCTAGTGGGCTTAGCGCGAGTCCGGTGGGCCATTGTAGCTGCGCTTGGTTTGCCATTAGCGTACCGGAACAAGGCGCCGGACTCCAGTGGTTATGATGACCATGGTGACCGATAAGTGTATGTATTATGCCTTTTGGATCCACAGCACGTATGTTCGTACCATCCGCTATATACATGGTGCGATCAGCGGCAATCGCCAGACCTTTAGGATGGGAGAGGCGGGCCTGCAAAGCCGGGCCACCATCACCACAGTTGCCCTCATCGCCTGGTATACAACGTTGACCACTGCCCACAATCGGCTCACTATTGATGCTGGGATCTTTGACTTTCTCTAAGCGCAGTAGCCGTAGAATTTGATGTCTTTCCGGATCGGAAATGTAGAGATGGCCATCGGCGGGCGAAACGGCGAGGTAATATTGGTAGGAGACCTGGGTGGCACTGAGTTGCAAAATTGTGTAGACTTTGCCATCGGGTGTGATACGTCGCACCAAGTTGAAGTCACCCACATACAAGCTACCATCTGGACCCGAGGCCAATGCGATGGGCGTGAGTAACTTGGCATCCTTGGCTATGCCGTTGCAGTGATCTGGACAGTTGAGCGGCCGCTGTAGACCAGTACCCATAACCACTTTAACCGTGCGTGGATATTCTTTCATGTGGAGTGTACTGCCGTCGCCCTTCTGCAAAATGCCTTCGTGGAAATTGTAATGGTGATGTATGTCCAGACCCCAGCCACCGATATCGGAGATGTCAACATCGTATCCTTGCAACTTGGCTGTCTGCGTAATCCAGACGGGCATCTTGCAAGTCGAGTGCTGGTAGCCGACTGAGATACGTGCAATGGTGACGCCATACACTTTCTGGCGATACACGTTGCGTTTGTTCCAGGCGAATGTGTGTATCAGGTTCGGGTCGGCCTCGTAGGTCTTCACATGCAAGGCACCCTCAATCTCCACACCCACATGCACATGGGTAAGTGTCTTTGGTATTTTCTCGGCCGTGAGACGCATGCGTACGATGCTCAGGTAACCCGATGCTTGCGATGACTGATATGTAAGATGCAAATCCGAACCGGGTATCTGAATAGACTCTTGAACGATCTGAAAAAGAGACAAAAAGGGAAAATGTGAGTGATTTCCATCATTTTGCAAATCCTTATTTCCTTTCTAAACAAAAAAAATACTCCTTTACTTTAGTCCTTCAAGCCGTAAGCTAAGATGGTCATGTGCCACGTGACCCCGTTTGAACGAAATGCGATAGTGTTGTTAAAAAATAATGACAAAGGGAGAACTCGGAGGTCCTCAAGGTTTGTTTTAATTCAATTAAAAGCTCGGCTAAGACAGCTGCTGTCTATCCTGGCGCGGGGCCAAAGGCCAGTGTGGGTGTGAGTGCAACCAAGTTGCTATTTTCGCTGCAGCTGTGTGAGCTTTTGCTGCTAAGTTCATCATAAATAATGCAAGGACAAACTAGAAACTTATTCCCCACTGCTGCTGCAGCTGCTCTAACGGTAATACTCATAATTTCTATATTGTTTTCCTTCCATTCGCCCAAGCACGTTAGCCACTTTAAGCGGAGCTAAGTTTACAAAATAATCAATTGCAGCAAAAGTTCCATAGTGAGCGCAGACGGGATGGGAAGAAGGAAGGGTGAGGAAGTTTAAGACGGCGGCATCCTCTGATATGGCTTGGCAAAGAGGTCGGTGAGAAGAGGTGAAACGTGGCAATGAACCTTGCGCGATGATTGGAATAGAGACGGCACCGGCTACCTCCGAGCGCGACATAGCATGCAGCATGAAAGTGTTGCAAGAGCCGCCACGAACTAATTAAGTTAGTGTGAGAAGGACTGGTTAAAGCGATTGGACAGCATGACCCTCAAGCCGGGCATAGTTGGCGGCAGCGGATAACTGAAGCTCGTTGGCATAACGGTAATCAAATGGAATGCAGCTTGGCTTGGCCACTATCGACTCACCTGCGTTTCGGCAAATATGACACGCTTGCCCGGCATCGCGCCCACGCCGTTCGGCATCCAAGTGCTTATTAATTGCGGCTTCAGCTCCTCGTGGTCGTGTTCGACGCATATTTTATTCACATCCACCTGCTCGTCCGCAAAGTGATAGAGTATCGAGTTGAGGAAGGTCAGAGCCGGATTCATCGGAGCCACCCTATGTGAAAGTAGCAAAGAGAAGAGGGGAATTTGTAATTATTAAAATTTTATCCAAGCAACTTAATTACACAACAACTACTGCCGCAACAATTCAGGTAATCGAATAGCTGCCGCGAATACTTACTTGATGCTGCGGCCGCTGCTTTCATCGTCGTCGCTGAGCTGCATCTGCACAGGCGGCAACACCACAATTCGATTCCACGGCACAAAGACGGTGCGCGTGAGTGGCCTGAAGGGGGAGCGCTGGAACTGCAACGTCACTGCACCGCCACCATTAACGAGCACATCAAACCTGTTTGCCGGAGGGTTGAGACGGACGCCGAAGGATAGGGAAGGAAATCAATGAAGTTTATTAATTAGCGTCAAATTCGGCATAAAATTACAAGGTAGTACACAGCGAAGTCGCCTCCGTCGTTTCAAGCAAATCAAATTGTACTCAGATTACATATACGCACAACCCCATCCCCACTCTGTGCTCTGCGTGATTTCCACTCAACTCGAATAGCTTAGACGTAGCCGTTATGGCTTTAATTAAACCTCGTTTGTGGATTTTCAGAGTTAAATTGGTTCATTAAGCAGAAAATATTCGCAAAAATAACTACGCACAAAATGTATGAGACGAGTTGAGATGACGCACATTTATGTATGTACACGTATACGAGTGTCGGAACTTTTGAGGCTAATTGCGTGAAGTCGATGAAATTTTAGACTGAACAAATTTTATTTAATTCATATCATTACACGAGCTAAACTTCTTCATTTGAGTCTTATTTAATAAACATAATTTCTAAAAAAATATTAATTCATTCCATCAGGATTAAATTATTTAAATTTTTTTTTAAATATTTCAATTTGCTTCGAATGTGATTAATTCAGTTTTATTTGATTTTTCTCATTTCAAGATTATTTTGGCAAATTTTTCGCTTTCTTTTGTTAAGCTCGTGTGTTTAAATTTAACCAAATCTCAGTGTGTTTTGAGGACGAGCTCGGAAGCGTTAAAACAATACCGTTAATTCTCACTCAGTCACTTCTCATAAACAAAATTCCGAATTGAATGAAATATAATAAAGCGACCAACAAAAGCAACGCGAAAATGATTGAGAAGGAAAAGCAGTAAAAGTGCAGTGGCAGAGAGAGAGAGAGAGACACCACTCTGAGTGGGAAAAGGTGAAGAAAGTTTCAGTTCTTATTAAGAATTCCCTCGCTTTGGAGAAATAAGCACAAAGTTAGTTTCTTCAACTCTTGAGCGCCATTTGAATCAATGATTGCTTTTTGTACAAAGTGACTAAGAATTATTGGGAGTTTTATTGAAGCTTTCATCAAAGGGTCTACTTCGGCAGAGTTTAATGAAATTTTAGCGGAAAATTCATCAGTATAATAAATTGAGTCGATTCCCAATCGCAAGTGCGTCCATCTCGGCGTAGCATATGGACCACCCATCATTACTCAAACATGACCGACAATTGACGAAAGTATATGCTTACAAACATACACCAAACGAGCACACACATATGCACGCACTTACGCTATTCTATAGAGATGTAGAGCATCCTCATATGTCCTGCTTGAAGGACATTTTTCATTTTGGAACAATGAACACATATTATGCGATATTATTTCGCTTCGAAGCCACAACACAAGCGCATAACCGCAGATGAGATTTTCCTGCTCTGCTACAGCCTGCGTGGTATATACGGAATGTGTGCATGTGTGTGTGTGTGCCTGTGTGCGCAAGTAGTTGTGGGTGCTATCTCTTATTCACTATTTTTATGTTATTTTTTTATGGTTTTTCTTTGCATTGTACAAAATCCAATTTCGTTGTGACATTTTCCGGCCACCAACCTTTCAGTTACCCCCTGCCGTGCCACACCGTTGCTGGCTGCCGCACAGCCTTTCGCTTCGTTGGCCATACGAGTGTAATAAACGTATGTAGAAGTCGTGAGAGCATTGTTGCGGTTATGTCCTTAGTTTGACCGCCGTCGTCGTTGTTGTTAAGATTCACGCTTTGTTGTTGCTTAAGCTTTAATGGTTGCGTCTCTTTTCGGTTAGCGACAATGTCGGTGAGGGTTTATCCATCACCACGATGCCATCTGCTCTGCTCTGCGTGTGTATGTATGCGCTTGTGATATGATTCTGATTTTGATTTTCCATCTTGAAAATGGCTGCATGGACAAGCAATAGCAATCACTTTATGAACACACTCACACACAAAATCACACAACACAATCGGAACGTGAGTAAAATGGTTGCGGAAATGATGTTATTTCCAAGTTGGAAGCGAATAAAAATATACTTTTTATGTTTCGCCGAAGCCGATAACTTTTCAATCGGATTTAAGACAATCGAAAATAATTGTGGGAATTGAATGGGTGAAAAAATGATCGAAGAGCTCCCTTTGCGTATTTTTACTGTATTTTTCCTTTATTTTATTTTAGTTTGCTTAAATTAAAATTTTTAATTTACTTTAATTCTTTTAATAATCATATAGTATTTTTTTAAATAATTTTATTTTATTGTGTTCAATTTTTTTAATATATATATATATTATAAAATATTAAATATTTTCCTTTATTTTTTAGCCTAATTTATTGGATGTGTGCATAAGTTCGTGCCCGATTTCAAGTGCAAACTAAAATTGAAATTTTTTGAAGAAAGCGCTTTTATTAATCAATTATGTATTCGCCATCATGTTCGGCAATCCACTCCCAACGTTCAACCAATTTACGGATGCCTGATTCATAGAAATCGCGCGGTTTCTCGTTGAAAAAGGTGTCAAAGTGGTTTTTGATGTCTTCCACATTTTTAAATTTTTTTTCCATTCAAATTGTTCTGCAGCGATGGAAATGGGGGATGCGGCATGATTTCCCAATTCATCTCCTTCGGCTTAGTAAGGGTCGGTTTTGCAACATTTGGCCTGGCGTTGTCATGATGGGAAAGAACTCCTTTGCGATTGGCCAAAATCGGACGTTTTTCATCAATTGCTTTCTTCCATTCGACCAATTGCTGCCAATACTTGTTGACAGTGATCGTTTCTCCAGCTGGCAAGAGCTCAAAATAGATCACGCCTCGGATATCCCACCAAATGCACAGCAGTACCTTCCTCGGATGCAATCCACCTTTCGACATCGGTTCCGCCCCTTCGTGTGCCTGTTTCCATGTTCTTTTGCATTGAACATTGTTGTACAGGATCCATTTTTCATCACCAGTCACGAGCTGATCAAAAAAAGGTTCGTTTTTGATCCGTCGAAGCAAAGAAATTGCTGTTGACATACGGTCCACTTTGTTTTTTTCACTCAACTGATGTGACACCCATGTATCGAGCTTCAAAGTGTACCCAACCTTTTTTAAACGACGAAACGCAGTATATTTGTTGACATTCAATTCACTCAAATACGTGAGTTACTCGCAACTAAAGTCCTTAGAATATCGTCATCAAGCTCAGAAGGCCGTCCACTGCGAGGTTGATCTTCGAGGTTAAAATCTCCAGAACGAAATTTCGCAAACCATTTCTTTACTGTGCGGAGTGCTGGAGCACGGTCCAAATAAACTTCGCGAATATCTTTAGTTGCAGCGCCTACTGTTTTTCCTTTGCGGAATTCGTATAACATAATATGACGCATATGATCTTTTTCGTTGTCCATCTTCCATGCGTCTTTTCACTAAGCAACTCAAATCATAATGAAGTTATTTTATGCTTGATTTACAGTTACGGACCGTCACCTTTCCAACGATATATAATAAGTATATATTTCTTTCACAAGCGCTACTCTTAAACGATTCGAACGGCATCCAGCGGAATCGGGCACGAACTTATGCACTCATCCATAATTTTTGTTATAAGTATGTGAGCGCAAGGCTTATTAGTTTGTAAGAGAATAAGTTTTGTTATACAGCAAAGAGAAATGGTGCAGTGACTGACTTATAGCAAAAATTAAATAGTATAGGCTGCAGAAGAATATTTTTTTTTTAATTTAAACTCATTTGTTTTATTTTATTTAATTTTCTTTTCAATTTTAATTCATTTTGTTTAAATTTATTTTGCTTTCCTAATTTCATTTTATTATTTATGCGTTAATTTCTTATTTTATTTTATTCTTATTCACTAGATTTTAGTTAGTTTATAATTTAATATATTTTAATGCATTTTTTTAAATTTATTTTTTTTTTTTTGAATTGGGCTTTCTTTTTGTTATACCTGAAAACTCGCTGATTTTGTTGTTACTACAATATTTTATTGGCAAAAAGAAAGTTCAGTTTGCAAATATTTTCCTGCGAATTTCGCGCACGCTGAAAGTTTTACCGTTTTTGTTGTTGTTTTGTGTTTGTCGGCTTAATTGGTGCCGCTGATGTTGGCGCAGTTGCATTACAGCGGAAATGGCTGAATTAATTTTCCGCTAAAAGCTATTTAATTAGACACAAAACAAAAGCAGCAAAACACAACTACAAAAACAAAGAAAGGAATAAAAAAAGTAAAATAAGCGTCAACAGCTAAAATAATTTCGGCTATCGCCGGCATAGCGAGTCGGTCGTGAAAGCTTGCAGGTTTGCAGAACGCACACACACACACACTTGTGCGCACACAAATCTACACGTGGGCGTGTGTGTGTATGTATTTATTTGTACTCCTCGCCACGCCATCAAAGCCAGTTCTGTAAACGCGCGCGCCACCACCTGTGCATTTCAGCTCAACCGTTACGTCCGCCATTGTTATTTCGCGACCGCGAACGCGTGTGTGCGTGTTCTGTATGTTCGGTGGATTTAAAAGGCTTCAACATCATGTTTTGGTGTTTTGCGCTGCTAGTCAATGCTTCTTCTTGTCGATGTTTTCGCTGTTTGTGTTCGAAGTATTTTTCTACTTTGAAATGTACACCAAGCTAACTGTATTTATGTATAGCTCTCCACACGACAGGGCTTATGTGTGAAGAGATGCATGTATAATATAAATGTATGTATATGTGTGTGCATGGTATTGTTTTAGTATTAGAGAAATGGGAAAGTGTTAGCATACTGTTATATCGAAATGTACAGTATCTCACATACCTTCCATGCATGTACATATATATACAAACCAATATCAACAAGCGTACACCAACGCCAGCATTGCAGTATCCTGACGATGTCGGACAGAATACCATCTATTTGCGAATTAAAAAAGGGAATGGGCACATTCACACATATACACATAAATATGTATATACAATTTAATATGGTTAACAAGACAGGCGATATCGATTTTCGATTAACAAAACGCGAGAAGTCCGCATTCAGCGCCAGAACAGAGAACAGTTTTTGTGGAACAATGAAATATCGATTTTACAATCAGTGCAAAAACAATACGAAAAAATAGAAAAAAAGCAAAATCAGAAAAAATTCCGGTAGAAATTTATGGCTGATTCCAATTTGCAATTACAGATTTTATTTCAAAGAATTCCTTTTTGTTGCCGCTTGCGTTTATATTTGGCCTCGTTGTTGTTGTTGTTGTTGTTGTTGTTTTGTTGTTAATTTATAAAGTATCTATTTAAAAAGTGCGAAATAAATGTTAATGCAATGCACATTTTGAACTGAAACAACAACATAACAACACACTTTCAATTACCGCTACAAGCATTCTTATGCAATTATTGTACATACATACAAACCTACATGCATACCGACATGCATACGCACATATACATATTAAATAAAATGCACAACACATATGTTTTGTTGTTTTTGCGGCGCTTTTCATTAAAATTGCGTTGATATGCAAAGTGTTACATTAACATTGCCAACAGCCATTACAACACAACAACACAGCAACATACATAAATGCGACAACACTGTGGCCAATTGCAGTTAACATATTGCCATGATTGTTGTTTTTGTTACTGCTCCTGCTGTTGTTGAAAAACTTGCACGCTCAATTTGCAATTGACCCAAATTCTGTGGGCTGACGAGGCGGAAAACTCTCACCACCGGCTCTAAGAAGAGCGAGCGTTCAGCGTTGAGTGCCACCTAGTGTCGGTGTGTATGTGTGTTTGCTCATAATTAAACCATTTACATACGTGCGTATATAACTAAACTTTTATTCACAACAAAATTAAACATTTTCAAAGTTTGCGCTACTGACTGTGGCATGGCGCACGGAGCATGGAGCGGCTGAGAGATCGGATTGAAAATAAAATTGAAAACAGATCTGAGTAGAAATTTGATTTAATTAATTAATTTATGAGCTGTTTAAATAAGCCCCTTTCTCCTCTTCCGCCCCTTTGTGGCAAGTGTCAAATCTCTTTCTTATTAAACCAGCAAACGAAAGAGGTTCCAGCAGTGACGGCAAGGAGTAGGTGCCGATATATTGGCTCTTCTACCTTAGGTCAGGCATTTAGAGACCATAGGTTTCACCTTCTGTGAAAGTGGAAAGGTACCTTTGGAAGTCGTTTGAAGGCGGAAGTTTTCTTTAAATGCACGAGGAGCTCTGCTGTAACCCGGAGCACTTCACAGTAGAAAATTGATGGATAAAATTTCAGCTTTTGAGTCTTCAAATTTGATCTGCTTTCCATAGCATAACGTCTGACGGAGACAGCGCTACAGACGTGACCTTGGGAAAACTCACCAAGAAGTACTCTTGAGGTAGAAATTTATAATTTGTATTTGTATATATATTAGATATGGAGGGACAGTTGAAAGCCGGTGCGAGGGGCGACCGCACCTGAACACAGTTTTTTGTACATTTTTATGTTGATGCTAAGATGGCCAGGATTGGACCCAAGGCAATCCATACAGCGGACGTCACAAAAATGATCAAGATTTTTTATGACATTCTGTTTATTTAGTAATTCCCCAGGCCTTACCTTTCCGTATCAGAACACCGTTAAAATCACGGAAGAAGGAATTTACCTTCTCGTTATATTTAGTCTCGTTAAAACAAGCTTTAATGATGCAATAATATATGTATGCACGTGTATATGTATATTATTTCTCCGCATTTGAGGAGGAGGAGGAGGAGGAGGAGGAGGAGAACTAGTGGAAGAGGCGGAAGAGGAGGAGGCGGAGGATTGGGAGCTCAGTGTGACACTATTACGAAACTAACTTCCTTTATTAGCTGGCTCTCTATGCCTATAAGCACTCGTTGTGTATGTATGCAAGCCTGTACATATGTATGCATGTAAATGCTGCGTTGGCGTGCAAAATAAATTCCTTTTCACTGCGCTGGTGTCGCCAACATTACATAACATTATATGGAATTACATAAAGGGAGTTAGCTATTTACCGTCTTTTTTTGTTGCTGCCTTAACTGTAATTCATTTCCTGTTATGTAAGTGTGCCTCATTGTTGTGGCTGTTTAGTTGTTTTGTTGCACAACGGTACATACTCAAATAATCCTCGCTACGTCGACGAGGAGCTCAGCGAGCACTACGCAACAGCAACAACAACGGAAAAGGCAACAAGTAACAAACGCGCAACGAAGCAGCGCAAAAACGGAAAAAATGCAAAAAGAGTAAATAAATAAAAACATAAATAAGAAATAGTAACAAAAGCAATATAGGGACAAAAAGGAATGTGCATAAATAAATAACACGGAAATGGCACAACAACAATGAACGTATAAAATTAAGGCACTGGGCTAATGAAGAATTATAATGCAATAAGGGCAGGACAACCGGCACATACCACTACTCGTGCTACCTGCTGAGGGAAAAATTTATGTGGGGTAGGGAGAGGTTGCCTAACGAGAATGCGGCACAGCGAAAGTGAGGCTGAGCGCGTTGCGCAAAGTAGAAAGGGGAGTAAGAGTAGCAGCGCTATTGATATGTAACTTTCAAAAATATCCTTAAATCGTGAATGAAAATTAATTTCTTTGTTACCGTTGCTTAGCTTTACACTCACAACACTACAGTTATAACTTACAGCTGGTTTCTTTAAAATACTTTTACAATAGTCTGTATTCTTGAACACATAACAAGAAAATTTCGTGCCGAATATAATTAATCTATGAAATCTCAAAAAAATCTCAAAAAAATCTCCAAAAACTTCGAGTTAAGCACACTGAAGTGTAAAATCCTCTTCGAGTCATATTTAAAAGCTTTCATAAGTTTCGTAGATATAAATGTATTCGTACATACATATGTCCATCTACATGACTATTGAATTTGCATCAATGCGTTTGCTTCACATTCATGAAATCCTGCCGTTTCGTATACGCAACCTCAAGTCATGCCTTAGCAGAGTCCTTTGCCTGCTCGAAGCGAGCGTGCTTTCATTCGTAAAAATTATCAGAATTAAAAATTGTTCAAGCGTTGCAAATTTAATTTAATTAGTTTTCGAATAACACTCTCGATTCGGGGACAATGATGTGAGCACGAGGACAACAGTAGGAAAAACAACAGCCACAATAGAGCACGAAGTATGAGCAAAAGCGGGGAAGCGAAAGGTCTCTGCTATGAAATTTAACTTTTCTCAATAGCGGCGGCAGGCAGTCGTGGTTGCAGCTGTTGGCCTTCAATTCAACGTACCTCGAAAACAAAACAGGGGAGACTACTTGACAATCCAAAGTTGCTCCTGCGACGCTTCCTTGGCCAGCAACGCCACTGACGGGGAATACATCTGCTGGCCAGCAGCAATTACTGTTGTAGAGTAGAAAGCTTCTTCTGCCAGCTCTTGAACTGCCGCACTGCCCTCCATTCATTTGCCTCTCGCTGTACTAGACTAACAATCTCTTTGTGAGTTCCGGTAGCAGAAATGATAAGGGAATTCGCGTTTCTTAGGAGAGAAATTTCTTCATTGTTTTCGGCGCACAATTTAAATGGGATTAAATTAAAGTATTCGTGTCTCTAAAATTTTATATTCACTTCATTTTACACACATACATGTGTATATGCGTATTATATTTTGTTGTGTTGCTGTTGTTGCTTTAGTTATGTGTTTTTTTTTCACTTTGTATTTGTTTGCTTATGCGAAAATGGGCCGATTTGCCCATTCACTTGTGTTTTGAATGCATAATTGTTGTTGCTGTGTACGGAAATTTTATGTAAATATGTATTGTATCTATAAGAGGATTTTCTTATAAATATTCAACTTTCAAAACGAATCCAATTCGAAGAAAATGCTTTCACCGCGAGCTTCCAGGTGTGTTTGCGTGTCTGTGTGTGACTGTGCGTATGGTTGAGTGCGCAATGGCATGCGTATGTGTCTGTGAATGCCTAAAATATCTTCATCATTTCTACATTTCGCTTTTGGCATATTTGCACAGGCGTATTATTTTGTGTGCTGGAACTTTTTGAGACGGCTGCCGCTGCTGCCGACGCACCAATTAGGCGATTTCCATGGCAACGAAAGCACTCTCACAAGCACCTTAGAGTCGAAATACAAACTTATTTTCGAATATTAAACATACTCAGCATAAATTAGCAGACCTGAAATGTTGATTGTCTACAACTGAGTTCACTGTGTGAAATCAATACAATTTCCGAGGAGTCCGTGGCGTATACGTAATCTGAGTGGAGTTGATTGCATGATTATCTTAAAAAATACTTATAATTGCACGAATTGAGATTCGCATTTCAATAATATGCTAAAATTAAAAATCTAAATAAAATACTGTTATTAATAAGAATAAGTAAATGAGTACATCGAGATGGATAAATATTTTTATGAATTTATGCACAGTTCTCACTTTGCGCAGTGGTATTTATGTACGAGTATGTATTATATGCTGAAGTAATTAAGTATGCAAAGGAGCGTTACTCACCATCCACCTTGTCGTGTCAGTGTAAATCCGAAACGCGAGTCCCGATCCACCGAGACCCGTATGCCGACAATGCCCAGTCCTTGCGGCGTGATGACCTGTCCACGCATAACCGACACTCGACTGCAGGCGCAACACAGAGCGGCAAGTGTGTTATGCGTGCGCAGAGGATTGAAGGGGGAATAAGAGAAGACACAATTAGATATGTTGCAATTTCAAATATGATCTTGTTGTAATGACTTGTATGTCTGTGTATTGGTAGAAACGATAAAGGCGAATTAAAAGAACTTATTCATTAATATTACTGTGTTGTTGGTGGAGGAATGATAAAGTAAAAACTAAACACCGTCAAATCAGACGAGGAGTGAAAATGTAAGTGGTTCACGAAATAATTCAATCAAAAATCACAAAAGCTCAAATAAGTACTATGCAGGAGTGTCGACATATATTTTAACTGTTTTTATGTGAATATATTTGTATGTAGATGGAAGAAAGTGAATATTTTTTTTTTCAAAATGCAGAAATAATTTTTTTTTAATTTTCGTATAATGAAAAGTATGGGGGTTGATGCATAAAACGGACTCAAATGCGCAAATATAGTTTCAAAATATTGAAAAAAATATGGGAAATTTTCCAAGTGGTGTAAAGTAAAAGAGCAGAGTTTTATAGTGAAAAACATTTTCTACTTAATTGATGCGTCGAGTGAATATATTTTGGCATGAACTTAAATTTAATTCAATCATTTTTCTATTTAATTGATGATATGTAATTTATTTACAGTGTCGGATGTGTCTTCTAGCATAACAAATGCCTCGGATATTATTTTTCTTTTTTAGCTTCATTTTTAGGAGAATAAAATTGTGTGGAGAAACATGCAAAAATCGTAATAATTATTTCATTTTAGTTTCTATGTTCTTACGATAAATTTCAACTTTGCATAAAATTTTTACACTTTTTAATGAAAATCATTTTGTTCTGGATTTGTAACTGACGAGTTCAAGTACCTCTATCTGATAATGTCAACGCGAAAAATGCCTCGTAATTTTCCCAAATTCGGTTATTCACCGAGCTTTTGTATTAAAATTTTTTGTTTGGCTTAAAATTTCGTTCTTCTTTAAAATTTCATGAATATTTCGATAGCTAAATAACTGTACTTTTATTGAAACTAACTGAAATTGAATAATAATCATCTACGAATGCGTTCAGAATTCATTAGTGGGCATTTATTCTCTTGCTCAGGTTACCCTCAGAGCCTGACATAAATCCCTTGCTCAATGATACACAACTCAACTTCGAAATTTCTAAAGCTTCAAGCCTTTTCACCTGGCTCTCCCTTCAGTTTGTGGTAGGCGTTTGATGCTTATCAAACAAATGGTCGGACCAGCAATATTTTCTATGTTCTAAACCACCTACGAAGGATTGATGAGCTCCAAGTCAGAAATTCACTCGGAGGGCTGGATATTCCCGCCGTCTTGGAAGAGTTCATTTTTACTCTCTTTGTTTTATTTACAATAAAAAATTTTCACGTAACCGAGCATTACTTTTTGCTTCAAATTAACTTCCGTTATTACTTTAATAACGAATCAGATAAAATTTATGTACTCGCATGTCATTTTATGTGACGAATTCAGTCCTTTGATTAGGAGTAAGCCCGAATTCCTTATGAATTTATAAATATTTTATGAGTGAGCGAACAAAAGGGCCCCTCTAGCAGAGGGCGAGATAGCTGCGCACCATTCTTCTTCGCAGATATAAATAAATGTAAATATCAAAATAACGGCACAAAACTCATTCAGCTGAGTGCGCTCGCCACGTTTAGCCATGCCAACAGCGAAAATAGCTACGAAATCAACAAAGTACAACAAGTACTTTGCCGCTCATTGGTTGTTCAACGCAAGTGGTTTTTTCTTTCCTCCCAATCTCCCTTCCACCTTCCTTCCCCCTCCTCCGTTGCCATTTATTGTTGCAGTAATAAAATATATATTATTGCTCACTCATACATGCATGAGTATAGCGTGTAATCGTATTAGACATGTTCTCGTTACCCTTATTGCCAAGGCTGGCCGACCCTGCGGCGGCAGCGTGCGTCCTTCTCAACGTCTTGCCTTGTGGCAGTGACTGACATAGTTTTGATGGTAGTTTTGCTTCAATTTCCTTACTTTCTGGCTGTTGCTGCTGGCGTTGTTGTAGTTGTTGCTGTTTGCTCGTAATATTCTGCTTGAGTCTTAACGCAATTGCTTGTTGTTTGTTTAGTGCGTCGTGAAGCTTATAACTGTGCTGTACAAGCAGCACTCATAAGCTTTTTTCGCTTTGATCAAATCACATTCGGCTTTCGGTTCACTCAAGCTTAATCATGTCGTTCATTCAGGACAATTTCATTTAACGCGTTTTGGGTTATTCCTCAACATGTTGCCCTTGCCCGTCGTGCCTCGCCTGCGCCGACACATCATCGACAGCAAATCATTTTCTTTCGCTTTCGCTTTGTTGCAAGTGTGTGTTCACGCTCAGATACGTGCCACACAATCATTTCGTCCATGTCCCATGCGAGGAGTATCGAGCGCCTGCTAATGTGTGCATGTATCTGTGTGTCTATTGTATATGCGCGATGGCATCGTCGTATTGCTGTATTATCGTCGTGTAATAAAACTTGCTTTTTTCATGCACTAACACACTTAAATAGTTATTTTACCGCTAACGCTTCACTGCATTAAAAATGGGCTAATACGCCTCAACATATGCTACATATACAATATTATGACCTCGTAAAGTGTCCAACACCATACACACAGACGCACACGTTTCCTCACCAATGGATTCGCTCAGAATTTTATTGTAGTAATTTCTGCCTTTACATCTTAAACTTTATTAGAAAAAGCTTTGTAGACCAGGAAGTTGTGCGTCGAGAGTTACTCATTTAAACATTTTGCTTTGGTGTCATTAACCAGAGATCTTCCTTTAGTTGCGAAATTCTCGTATATGCTTGTATTACGTGAAAATACTTTTACAAAATATTGCTTTTGGCATTGGTTGGAAATTTTTTGTGTTGACAGTGCTAAGGAGGTCCAATGGAGAGTAGCAATTCCGTTTACTGACCCATCGCATCAGAGTGATCTAGAAAGGCATTAGCTAAACGGGACAACTAATATACCAGTGACCTCTTTGAAAGGCTAAAGTTTATAAATAAGAAGGTCCAAACCATTGCTATAACCCAATTTCTAAGGCTAGGGATATACCTGGCCGCCGTTCCAAATTCGTTTTTGCTTCTAGTTTTATGACTCTTCATATATTTTTCTACTAAAGGAAACTGCAACCCAAGGTCATTTTCATTATAATCAGAGACGCTTCTCTTAAAGGCAAAAACACCCGGTCGGTTGGAATAGCGCAGAGCCAGTGAAGGGACTTAAAACATGTAATGACTTTCCATGTCACATTCATTAAGCTACAGATTTGTGGGAGTAGAGAAGAGGGCGATGAATAACCAATACTTAGAAAGTCATAAGTGCCAACCATTCAACCCGACAACCAGCAGTGTCCATCTCCCCTCCGAAGTGGTATTAATCCTTCTATATTTTAATCTCTTCACCAGTATTACGGAGGTTTTCTTTTAGGATTTTCAGCTTCTACTCCTGTGCTTTTTCCATGTTTAGATAAAATCGAGCCAGCTGTAAAGTCATTCCAAAGACTGTCGATGGCCCAGATAGTACCGTCCAGCTTTACCCGTTTCAGCTTCGGTTCGTGGAAACTCTGGAATAATTGGTTATTGGGAGGGCACTCTGTGGGTTACCCCTACTTTGTTCGCGTTACCATACGTTGAAGTAATGTGCAGAACAGAAACTTATATAACTTAGAATATTTAAAGTTACTCAAAAAATTAATCAAAGCTAGAAGCCTTTGCAAGATGTAACCATCACGCTTGCAGGGCACTGAATAAGGTATCGCCTAAAATCCCTAAACTAGGGGAGTCACAGTCTTTGGGGTCTCCTTTGGAAATCAGCGAAACTTGCTAATGACTATTTGAATCAAATTATTCGCCAAGAAAATGGAAAACGCGCGACACATTTTTATCTGACTGCAAATAACAACACTCATTTAACCTTCGCACCTCACAGATCAGTTCACATAAGACGGCGAGATCACCGAAATAGTGGAGAATAAACTAGTAGCAAATTTTCGTATAAACATCGGAGGAAAGAACCCAAGGCTCGCCAACCGGCGACCACACTCACTTTTATAATCATCAATTATCTTCCATAATCATTTGCCGCTGTCAATGAGAACAGGAACAGTCAGTTAGAGAGCTCTAGCGAGTTACACAACAGTGCCGTGAGCCGTGAGCATGGGACGGAGTAAACTGTGAAAAACAAATCAGCGTCATTACGTAATTAGTTGCGATAAAATGCGGGAAGTGAGCTGGTAAAAGTGCCCTAGAAATGGCTGTATATCCTAACGGGATTACGCGCACAAACGTGTTGCTTCATACAAAATAGATATTTTCTACTTCGAACTCCTTGGAACGAACGTAAAAGCGGGCATTAAAACTTTACACTTAAGCCAACATATACCGACACACACACACACTCATATGTAGTCTACTTAAAACCCTAAAGAATGAAGGAATGCACCAGGAAAAAGGGGAGCGGCTAGCGCCGAGGGGACGCTGAAGGAAAGAAAAAGTAATTACTTTCCATTGGCACATTAATTAAGCAACGGACATGTGGGAGGACGAGGAGAAGAGAGCGATGAGAAACCAATATTGAGAAAGCCATAAGCACCAACCATTCAACTCGACAGCCAGCAGTATCTCACTTCCCCTCCGAACTTATCTAAGCACCACTCTCGTTGAGCACGGGTAGCTCCTGGGTGAATTGCAATATAAATGCAACTGAAACAAATACTGCTAAGATTCGAGCAAATTCAGTCACACACACACATACTCTCACACACACAGAGCACGTTTCACAATTTCCAATAGATGTTTGTACGTCAGTCTATCTGTCTGTTTGTAATAGCAAAGGCAGCAGCGATTCTGTGGAAAACAAACCACAAGCATCTGCCCAAGCCATCTAAGCGAGCCAGCCAACGAACCGAACTACTGACCACACACACACTAGCAACCAAGTAGC